TAGGTCAGGCCTGGTTGTACAGGACAGTCTGCAACAGGGCTGGGAGGACTTGAGGGATAGGAATCATAGAATTGTAGAGTTGGAAGGGACCTGTGGATCTAGTCCAACCCTCTAAAATGCAGGAATATGCAGCTGGCCCGTATGAAGATTGAAACCACAACCTTGCCATTATCAGCACCACATTGTAAGCAGCTGAGCTAATGGGATACAACTTTGTTTTTCTGTTTTTTTGTTTTGGTTTACTAGTGCCCAGAATGGGTTTATTTTATCCAGTTTTTGTTCTATTGCCATCTTGTGCTTCCCTCCAACTCCTTGGTTTTTGGAATCACCTTAGATCAAACTCTGGAAAGCTAGTTGTGTTGCTTTTGGGAAGCCCTCTTGCTCATCCTGCTGAGAGGGGCCCAGGATCTCTGCCCCAATGACCTGCCCAAACCGTTTAGGTGCCCCGAGAGAGAGACCTCTGAACACAACACAGTGGAAAAGTCAGAAGGGCTCCCTCTGTGCCCCACCCCTTTAAACACTTCAAACACAACATCTAGCAGCAAGCAATACGTTCCACATTCTATCCACAACTTCTGGAAAACCCCAAGGCTGCAAGGAAACCCAAGCGGGAAAACCCCAAACAGCACAATAGCATTTTAAAATGAAACAGTCAAGCCAGGGTCAAGTTGTGATCTGGCAGCTTTCCACCCCAACAGTTCCTTTCAAGAGCCCCAAACACAGAGATGCTACAGCTGCTACATCCCCTCCTCTGCTTCTTCCTCCCTCTGGTTCCCTTAACCCAGGCTTCCTCAACCTCGGCCCTCCAGATGTTTTGAGACTACAATTCCCATCAACCCTGACCACTGGTCCTGCGAGCCAGGGATCATGGGAGTTGTAGGCCAAAAACACCTGGAGGGCCGAGGTTGAGGAAGCCTGCCTTAACCCACCCATCCACTTCCCCTGCATACTGGGACCACAGCAAGGTGTTTGATCCAGACATTGATGTTTGTTTTTTTTGTAGATTTTCTGTTTCTGGATGCTCCCAAGTCAATATTTGAGAAAGGAGAGGAACAATATTCATGCAAAACTCAGTCCCGGATGAGGAAGCAAAGAGTGCACATTCCCAGAACCATGTCTCTGCTCATATTTGCAGACAACCACCTGCCCCCATGGCAATTTCATCTTTAAAATGCTTTTTTGTTTTTTTAAAAAGTAGTCGTCAGAAGATCCAGCAATGCCAAAGTGTGGTTTGGGCCTTTCAGACAAGCTACCGGTAACTGTTATTGTTAAAAGTTTCTGGCAAGTCACCCCAGTGAGCAAACAGTACTATCTAGCGGTTAGAACTTGCAACTACAAGCCAGCACAAGTCTCTGAGCTGAGACTTGTAATGGCCAAAGATTATTATTTCAGCCCCTTCAGTATGAACAAGGGTGCATCAAAAAAAGAGAGAGCGGTCTCTTCTTCCAAGGAGCTTACAGTTACAACAGAGATGGCCACCAACTTGGGACAGCTTTAAGAGGGTTGAATAAATTCATGGAGGACTATGAATGCCCACTAGTGATGATAGCTATTGCTCTGCCAGTTGGAGGCAATAAAGCTTTTGAACACCACTGGCTGGAAACCACAGGAAGGGAGAGGGCTCTTGTGTTTGCAGGTTTCCCAGAGGCATCTGGTTGGCCAGTGTGAGAAGATGCTGGACTAGGTGAGCTGCCAGCCTGATTTAAATTATTGGACAATGATTCCCATCCCTCTCTGCCAACATGGCCAATGGTCAGGAATGATGGGAGTTGTAGGCCACATCCACTGGAAGAAGCAAAGATCACCAGTGTCGAAGCAATGATTCTTCAACATCAACTTTGTTGGACTGGTCCTGTTGTTTGGATGCCTGATTATCGTCTTCCAAAGAAACTACTGTATTCCGAACTTTAAAATAGAAAGCACATTGCTGGTGGTCAACAAAAGAGGTTCAAAGATGCTCAAACTCAGGACGAAAGGGGCGGAATGCGCTAAGAGGTAGGCTCGCTTGGCAAACCCTCACCGTGGTCAACACTTGCCCGGAAACAAATGTCCCCACTGTGGAAGGATGTGTGGATCCCGAATTGGCCTCCACAGGCACTTATGGACTCACTGTTAAAACTGTGTTCATGGAAGACAATCTTACTTGGCTACGAGTGATCGCCAAAGAAGAAGTAGTAGTTAGATTGTGTAGTGTATGCTTAGTGTACTAGATTAAGGACTCTTGAGACCAGGGCTCAAGTCCCTATTTCGGTACATGATTGTCAATGGGGTGATCTTGGGCCAGTCACTGTCTATCAGGCAAATAGAGTTGTTGTGAGTATAAAACGAAAAGCAGGGCAGGAAGTGCTTATGCCACCATGAGGTTTTTAGAGGAAAGGTGAGACAGAAATGTGATGATAATGTGGAGAGAATCAGAACTTACAGGGTTAAACAGTTCTGAGTGACGTCTCACATTCTGAGGCGTGGCTTTGTTCACAGAGGGGAGTGTTTCTCTGTGTTCTTTGTTCTTCCGTGTTTCAGCGGTGAGGCAGCAAGATGTGCGCTCTCTCACTGGGTGATCTTTGATGTTTTTCTACACGATTAAAGACTTTTGGAGATAAGCAAGAGCGGAAGCGTGCAGCTTGATTTATTACACACAAATCGCAACAGTTTCTCAACCGCTGTGTCGACTCTGCTACAAATAGCTGACGGAGAGCAGTGAGGCGCGAGGAAGCCTACTGGACCCAGTCCAATAGCTATCCAATAGCCAAAGATAATAATAAATTAAAGCACATTGATTCCACCAAATGCTTCTGGGAAGTGTAGCTTAACTGTCCCAGAACTACAATTCCCAGCACCATTTGCAAACTACAACTCCCAGGTTTCCCGTGTGTTTTAAATGCATGGTGTGGATGTGACCATTGGCTAACACCATCCGCAAGGACAAGATTTCCCATTGCTGCTCTAGAAAAATCAACCCCATCTTATTCAGAAGCGAAGCCGACTAACAACAAATGCATTTTATTTTTTCTCAGCGACAAGAGTTTCTCAGGCACAAAACCCGAGTTTTCAGAACATTCACAGTGCAAGGGACTCTGTCTTCTGGCAAGGAATCTCGAGGCCCAGCAGACGCAGTGCATACTTGGAAAACAAAAACATCATGTGGGTCCTGGTTGAGCTGGGAATGTCCAGCCAGTGCAAATCGACAAAGAAAAGTGGGCCACTGAGGTCATGGAGCTGGAATTAAGAGGTTGATGATCACAATAGGCAGGAGGATCAGGAAGCAAACCAAGTTAGGGTGCATCTGAAGACACACACGTCTTTCCAAATAAACCACTGCCATCTTCCTTCAGAGTGTGATAAGGAGATTGTTTGTACGCCATGAAACCATCCCATTGCTGCAAGGGATGCCTTAGGTCACCTGTACGCACCATCTTTGGGAAGTCAGAAGGAGCATCTAGGCAGCTACATCTTGGACCCCACACTTGAGGTTAGCAGGAACCGCGAAATCTGCAGGAGGTGAGGGGGAGCAGAAAGATTATTTCCCCTGGGTTCCTATAGGAATCACCCTCCCTCTGTGGCTGGGCACAGAACCCAAGAAGTCATGGCTGCCCACCCCTCAGACCAGCCACCAAGCACCCCGGCAGCCCAGCCTAATTCTGGTTTACTCTGAAGCAAGTCCTACAGAGAGCAACATAACTTGCTCTCAAGTTAAAGTGCCAAAGGAATTGAGCCATACAGAACTTATGGGCCTTCAGATTCTGAGGGTCTCCAACACCCATCACACCCAACAGTCAGGGTTGATGTGAGTTGCAACCCAGCCAGTGTGGCATAGTGGTTAGAATGCCAGACGAAGAATCTGGGAGACCAGGTTTCGAATCCCCACTTGTCCAGAAAGATCGCCTGGTGACCTTGGGGGCCAGTCGCAGCCTCTCAGCCTAGCCTACATCACAGGGTTGTTGTGTGGATTAATTAAAAAGGGGGAGAACCACGTATACCCCTTTGAGAAAAAGGTGGGATATAAATGCAAACAAACACACATATGGAGGGACACCATACTCAGTGGGACACCTATACTCTGTTTACTCACTGTGTTCTATGAGACTTACACCACACCCTAGGAAGTGTTTGGGGAGATTGTGCTTTAAGATGTCCAGCACAGGAAAAAGTCAATCCCTTGGATATTCCCTTAAGTGCTGTGGTTCAGCTTCAATCTTCGGCATCTCTAGGCAAGGCTGAGAGTGTTACTCCTGCCTTAAATCCCGAAAAGCTGCTGTCGGCCAGTGTAGACAATGCTCAGCTAGGTGGAACAACCATCTGGCTCAAGATAGGGCAAGCTACCTACATTTCTTTGCCCAGCAAGCGGAGGAGGCTAGGAAAACGAGATAATTTTCTGCACCGTTTCCAAACCACAGTCCCCAGGATCCTTCTGAGGAAGACACAATAGCGGAGCAGATACTGGCTTGCAGCTGAGAGAAGGCAGCCTCCAGATAAATGCTGCTGTGCTGTACCAGAAAGCAGCCTCACCTATTTGTTTTGGCTTGGGCAGATTCAGGTTGTTCATCAGTTCAACGAAGGCCTCTCGGGGCAAGGTGAGGCGAGGATTCAGGGTCTTTTCTTCCTCTACTGTGGACCACTGGGTCTGGCCTGCAAGGGAGGAGGAGATGCATCAAGGGGAGCCAGGACAGAAAAAAGAGTCTTGCAGCACCAAAAGGTTCATCACATAGATTTATCAAACAAGCGCAACATGTGGGAATATTTTTGCAGGCGACTTGGTTTCACTAAGTGGTCCTCGAATTCATCTTCTCTCAGTTGGCAGGCGAACATTTGTTCAAGGATCCGCTGTAACAGATCATAGCTAACTGCCTCTTCCTACTGTGCAAAGTTTCTGGGAGCAATGACCCCCTTCGATCCTATCTCAATGCTTACAGAGAACAGTCAATTTCATTCTACACCTTTACATAATGTTCCTCTACACCTATGTTTATGTGTCCCTGTATATTATAACTTTTTGACTTTCCCCCTCAACCCCCCCCAATGATTTCCTGCATCATAAAGGGATGAACTTTATGGTGCCTGCAGCAAAAGGAAAGACAAACCACAATCTCGATTTATGACAGCCAATAAGAAGTGATGTGCATTGTACAATGTACAAAACGTTGTACAAGTAATTTGCAAGCTCTATTTTTCCTGTATTATAATAAATGCTATGCATATTACATGACACATTATAGTTACATATGCAAAAAATTGACATTTATTTCGGGAAGACCTGTTTTCAAAAGATTTGGAAATGAAAGTTCATTCTTTTTGTTTTTAACCAAAGGTTCATCTAACTACACAACAGGAACATGAGGTTGTAAAAAAGTTGAAGCCCTAATGTGTATATTCATTCTCTCTCTCTCTCTGTGTTTGTGTGTGTCAGGTGTGCACACCCCGCCCCGATCTGAGAAACACCCAGATCAACCTGAGCCCAAATCAAGTCAGGGTGTGGGGTTAATGTTTAAATAGGGTTCTTTTAAAACCCTAATTAAGCATACAGTTAACCCTAAATAAGCATATGGCCCACCCTCACTTCCGACTGCACTGAAGAGAGGAGGGTTCAGTTCTGCTGAGTGCTGCTTCACTCTCATGTACGAAACACACTAGTGAAGCAGTCCTTAGTCTGGAGACGTTTATTTAAAGAAGCCTTCCTATGAGTTGATTCCAGCCATGCACACTGTGAACCGTAGAACAATCTGCCTTCCTTTCTATCTGTATACTGCTCAGTTGCATACTGATGTTTTAAATCCTCGCACATCGCTTTTTGGGGGATATGAAGTGGTTGATAAAATTTCATTCAACAAAAACAACACAACACTTTGTGCATCTGTTGAAGGGGGTCTCCAGTTTCTAGCACAGTAAATCTATTGGTCTCCAAGAGAACCAGAAGGCATGGTGTTGATCGCAACAGAGATATTTAAGGAAAATGAGGAACTGAGTGAGAACATGCATTGTCATCCAGTGCCCGTTGTACCACAGTGCTGCCCGCCCCCCAGCAGCAAATCTGAGACCCCGACTTACCGGTATAGTCATGGGCAGGGTAGATTAGGCAGTGGCCAGGGAGTGTGAAGATTTTTTCGTGGACTGACTGATACAGGGTCTCTGGGTTGCCTTGGATGAGACAGAGAGTCTTACTGAGCCAAGTTTCCTTCAACATCAGCTATTTTTGCCAACCTGATTCTCTAGGACAGCTGCTTTAGACAAGGGTTTTCAACACATTCCTCCCATTTGTTCAGTGAACACATAGTTAGGCAGGGGGACGGAGAAGCACTATGCATATGGGCCCTGCCTCCAACAGTATGCCCTCTGGCCATGCCACTGACACCTATGCGTTAAGCATTAGTGCAAAGAAAGCATCTATGGAGCATATACTGGGGCACCGGTCTACCAATTTGTCCACTGACCTTTCCCCATATCTGACCAACCACCTTTACACCCAGCCCCTTGTCACCCATTTTTAACAATGGGAGAGGGGCCTTTAGAGCAGCTGACTAAAGCACTCTGTGAAGCACCTTCCCCTTTGTTAAATGTCTGCCATCAGTGCTGCTTCCTTGCTCTCCTGCCTGCTGTTTGTCATGCAGTTGGTGTGGCTACCTGAACTGCACAGTGTGACGACAGCATTAGATTTCTATGTATATAGGAAGAAATGTGTAAGGCTCTTTCATGCATTTGGAACCCTAGGCAATCTGCATTTCTGGATGCATGGAAGTTGCATAAAAGCCCATTTCACATTAATGGGATGTGTGTGGACATTAGGGGGTGACCAGTGAGGTCCACTCCGGGCATTAAGTGTTCATTCGAAGTGGGGAGGAAGAAAACACATATACCCCTTACAGGGTTGTTTTTTTGCAGAGGTGGCTGCACATTTCTACACAACAGCTTGCTGTCAATCTTATCCACAACACCCACATGGTGTTGTCTTCATTGAAACACCATCCCATATTTTTCCCCTTCAAAGAGACTTGCTCTGGAGAGCTACAAGAAACAGAGTGGTCTAACAATCAATCCCTCTTCCTCAGGGACTCTGGGAATTGTAGCTCTGTGTGAGAGAAGCAAAGGGCTCCCAAAAACTCTCAGCACCTTTAACGAACTACTGCTCCCAGAATTCTATGGGGAAACCATGACTGTTTAAAGTGGTACCATGGTACTTCAAATGTATGGTCTGAATGTGGCCAGGGAGAAATACAGTGCTATTGTAGGTAGACACATTCAGATTAAGGCAAAAAAAAATAAAATAAATGGGTATCATTTGTCAAATGGAACACGACAGCCCATGTCTCCCCATAAATCTTGAAGCTACCCTCTAATACTGATGGTAGCCATTAAGACTGACCCAGATCTCATAGCTCCCTCCCCCTTGCAACAGATCAGAGTCCACTCTGGTATGACCACCCTCCCTGGTTATAACTGGATCCACAAGGCCTCTGTACCTTGCTGGAAGTCTGTCCGTCCACAACCCCGGATCAGCAAGGCATCGCCAGTGAAAGCCATGCCTTTGTCATTCAGCACATACGTCAGGCATCCGTCTGTGTGCCCAGGGGTGGAACGAGCTTCCAGGGCCTGCAACAACAGCAGGGTGACATGCCATGAGACTCAAGCCTTGGAATTGCCAGTGTGATATAGCACTTAGACTTAGATATAGCACTTTGACCAGGGTTCAAATCCCCACTCAGCTGTGAAACTCGCTGAGCGGCTATGAGCCAGCTGCAGTCTCTCAGCCTAACCAACTTCGCAGGGTTGTTGTGGGGGTTAAATGAGGAGGGGGACAGCCGTGTGTACACCACCTTGAGCTCCCTGGAGGAAAAAGTGGGGTGTAAAATCAAACAAACAAACTCACAAAATCCCCAAATTTGAGGGTGTGCCCTTCCTGGATTAAGAGGTCAGCAGAGGCGCCACTATGTTTGGAGATGACACTTCGGCAGCCTGGGAGAAGCTTCTTCAGCAATCCGGTGCCTGTGATGTGGTCTGCATGGCAGTGAGTGTTGACTGAGAAAGAGGAAAAGAAGCCTGGGGTTATTATTGCAAGACACAAAAATCAAAGCATTTAACAAAGAAGTGGGGAGCCTGTGCCCCGCCCCAGATGTTATTGGGACTCCAACTCCCTGTTGGTCTCAGCCAGCAATGCCAACGTTGGGGATGATGGGATTGGTCCTCTAAATGTTTCTGGAGAACCACAGATCTAACGCCACAGTCAGGCCAGGCCGTTCTGCCACCTCAGGTGCCAAAATGCCTTGGGCCAGTGTGGGTTACCATCTCCTTCCTGATTCAAAGGTACAGTTCTATTATTCTACTCTTCCGCTACCTAGTGGTAGAAAGTGGAATATGCCATTTCTTTTCTGTTCCATTTTAACCTAGCAATACCCATGAAGGCCAGGTTTTACTAACCTGCTCTTGGGAGCTGGAAAAAAAATCCACTTTTATTTTTGCAATTTCATTATATGTACAGTTGTACCTCAGAAGTCGAACGGAATCCGTTGCGGAAGTCTGTTTGACTTCCGAAAGTTTGGAAACCGAAACGCGGCTTCTGATTGGCTGTAGGAAGCTCCTGCAGTCAATCGGAAGCCGCGGAAGCCCCACAGGACGTTCGGCTTCCAAAAGAACGTTCAAAAACCGGAACACTCACTTCCGGTTTTCGTTTGTTTAACAACAAGCTGGAACGTTCGACTCCCAAGGCGATTGGGAGCCAAGGTTTGACTGTATTAAAAATTAGTTTTTATTAAAGATGTTATTGTCTTAAAAAACAAATAAACAAGTACAAGTACATATAGCATCTCTATATTCATTTTCACACTTTTCACACTTTTTCAGACTTCATTTACATTCCATACAAGACCCTATTGTCATAGATGTTGTACGGTTGAGGGGGAAAGAAGGAAGGGAGAGAGGGAGGGAGGGACGGAGTGAGGAGGGAATAATAAGGTTTTGTTCTTCTTCAAAAAAAGGGGGGAAATCAAAGTGATTTACAGCAATGCACACACACATGCAATAAAAACCAAGTAAAAAATTAAAACCACAGATCATTCGCTAACCATTACAGGGGATGCTTTCTTAATTGTTTGCATAAGCCTGGCAGCATAGCTGAGTTTTCATCAAACATTTAAAGGTGGAAAAAGAGGATGCCGCGCTGAATCTCTCTCGGAAGAGCATCTCATGGCACTGGGCCAAGGCATGTTTTCACACTGATGTCAAATGAGGGTGACCATCATGGAGGGTGACCAGCAATGCTCCTACAGGTGATCTGAGTGATGAGGCTGAGCCGTAAGGGTTCAGGTGGTACCTAGATTAGCCAGGAACTAAGTTGCTCAGGGCTTATGCAAATGCAAGGACTCTGAACCTGTCTGAGTGGGCTTCCTTGGGAGCATGTTACACTACTCCAACTGCCTTGATCCATCCAAGACCGAAGAAAAACCTCCTCCTCTCACCTGCATATACCAAATTCAGACCAAGCTGCTTCACCAGGGTCGAATCCCTCCTGGCTGTCTCCAGAACTGGGTCTATCAGAACCGCCTCCTTGGTCTTCAAATCTGCCAGTAAGTAGGTATATGTGGAACTTTCTGATTCAAAGAGCTGGGGAGGAAATGCCAGAGATATATCTGGTTAGTCCATGAAAGGTGATAGGTAGGAGTGTCTGAGGACCCCTCTCCCCAAAGCAGCCCCCTCCTATAGTGGCCCTTGTGCTTAGGAAGAAAAGGACCCCTGCCCCTAATAACAGCAACAATGGTATGGGTGCGCAGTCACATGGAGAGGAAACTGGAGGTCGTAAGCCAAAGGCAACATGAAGTGCATCAGTACATAGGCCAGAGTGCCTCCACTCCAAGCCTAGCGGTTAAAGCAGGAAGCGGGCTTCTAATCCCTTGCCCTGGGGAATCTCTTGATTTATATTCTTTCCAAATTAACGTCCACAAATATACTCCCGCTACAGAAAAATATTTTACGTGCCTTTGTATGTAAGGAGTTGGATCTTTTAGCGTTGGTTCTTTTATGTTCTGGGTCTATTTTATTTTCTTTATTTCGCAACATTTATATATACAACTTGATTGTAAAACTAAACTAAACCACAAAGCAGTTTACAAAAGGGAAAAAAACAAACAATGAAATAAACCAGTTTAAAACAACTATTTAAAAGATTTGAAAAAAATATTTACAATCAATGATAAACTAAAATCCAGATTAAAACACCCACCAAGCGTTCTGGATAGCTTTGCCTAAGCAAGCATGTTTTTAGCAGGAGCTGTAAAGAATATAGTGAAGGCGCCTGCCTGGTGTCAGGGTAGTATTAGGGAGGTGCCTTCGTTGTACTCCTTAATAAGGTAAAGGTAAAGGGACCCCTGACCATTAGGTCCAGTCGTGACCAACTCATCTCAATAAACTCATCTCGTTTTATTGGCCAAGGGAGCCGGCGTACAGCTTCCGGGTCATGTGGCCAGCATGACTAAGCTGCTTCTGGCGAACCAGAGCAGCGCACGGAAACGCTGTTTACCTTCCCGCTGGAGCGGTACCTATTTATCTACTTGCACTCTGATGTGCTTTCGAACTGCTAGGTTGGCAGGAGCAGAGACTGAGCAACGGGAGCTCACCCCGTCGCGGGGATTCGAACTGCCAACCTTCTGATCGGCAAGTCCTAGGCTCTGTGGTTTAACCCACAGCGCCACCCGCTTTAGGCACTAAAAACAAACAAACAAATCTTTGTTTTGGCCAGCCTATCCAGACATGTGGTTTTTATTCCATATACTTGCTTTAAAACAAAACAAAACAAAAAAAATCTCTTCTGGTCTTTCTGCAGTTTTAAGAAGTTACATACATACACCCATTTAAATTTTTTGACTGCGTCTGACTTTCTTATTAAATATTTGCACCATTTTATGTAAGCTGCTTAAAGATTCTTCCTTCTTTCTTAGATTAAATAGTCTATAAATTGTGTTAACCGACTAAATAAAAATACCCACATTACATTTGGTATTGTATTATTTAGGAAAGTTGCTTGCCTGCCCATTCTCTATGCATTGGGACACCTCATGATGTATTGCAGCCAAATTCTGCACGACGGCACCTGAGATGAGGGAGCTGGTTTTTGACTATGCTTGAATATGCCATTTTGAATCAAGATGTTGGACCGAAATTCTCAAAGGTGTGCTGCTTTCTTTGAGTTCTTACAATCCCAGAGATGCACTGGGTTTGAGGCTCTTCATATAAAATGAAGAAATGGCCATGTTCTTTTAAATGTGCCTAACTGCTCCCTGCTCCCACATCGCTCAGGTGTAACAGTTTTCCACTTTTGCCCAATTTGGCTACTCTCCAGATCTTAGCAAGGCTTTCTTCCAATGGCACAGCACTTTATATTCCTACCACTGACTTCTCTATCGGTATTCTTGATGCAGGTCGTAAGTTCCAGACCTACTCACAGAAGGACTTGCTTCCTAACATTGCTTATATCCAAGCAGGCTGGACCCAGGGGTCAAGAAGGTGCAGTTAATCATCAAACCGATTACAGCCCCAAGAATCTAGCAGACACGCCAGTACTGTGTTCCATTTCAAACATGGTTTGCTTGTTTTATCATCCTGAAAGTTTTAAAAGTCTGCATAACTATAGATAAAGTTCAATCTGAAATTGAGATAAGATGTTGGTGTCTCTGGTATCTTTTACAGCATGGATGCATATTCTGTATTATTTTATTGGTATTAGTGTTACAAGGCCTTCAGCTAGAACAATAAAATAATTGTGTATTATGTTGTTGTAAACCAACCTGGGACCTTATGAGGAAGGGCAGGTAAAAAATAAAAAGGGGGGGGGGAGAATCAGGGATTTGGAGTCCAGCTTTGCTGTTGTTTTAAAAATGTCAAGATGGTCAACAATACAAGTGAGACAATAATATGATAACCTAAAAAAAGGGACCATACACATCAAAACATTTAATTTATGGTAATTATTTCAAGTGAAATATACAACAATTGCGTTTAAGAAAGCACAGTAAATTGAAAGACAATGTATTACAACTTAGCAAAATAAATGATAAGTAAATAAACATTTGTATTATACCTGATTATGCAGGATTCTATCCAATGCTAGTCCAGTCTGGACTCTGCATTTAAAGCAGAATAGCACTATAGACAGTACTGGCTTCCCAGTCCTGGGAGCTATAGCTTGTTAAGGGTGTTGAGAGTATTTGGGAGACTCCCGTTCCTCTCCCAGAGCTCCGGTTTCGAACTTGATTTAACAATCAGTCCCCCTTCCTTTGGGAGCTCTGAGAGATGCGACTCCGTTAGGGGAATAGGGAGGTCTCCCAGCGATTCTCATGACCCTTAACAAACTAGAGCTCCCATTATTCTGTTGAAGGAAACTGTGACTGTGGTATCATGGTGCTTTAGCTGAGTCTTACTTCAACGTGGTACACACAGCCCTGTCTCCCAATATCCCTCAGCATCTGACACCTTAATTTTAGGGCCAGCTTCGGCCGCAGTCAAGCACATATATGCTTACATTTCGGGTGCAGAGGGGAGAAAGAGAAAAACAGGATGCACTCCTATATGCTGTTACTTATTTATTATGGGAAGCCTCTTATGACCTTGGGCCGCTCACTGCCTCTCAGCCAAGAGTGCCAACTTGAATCTTTGGCAATCACTCGTAGCTGAGTAAGATTGTCTTCCATAAACACGATTTTAACAGTGAGTCCGTAAGTGACTGTCAAGGCCAATTCTGGATCCACACGTCCTTCTACAGTGGGGCATAGGTTTCCGGGCGGGAGTTGATCATGGTGAGGGTTTGCCAAGTGCTCCTTCCTCTTAGCATGTTTCTCCCTTGTGTCATGAGTTTGAGCATCTTCAAAGCCCATGACATCTTTGGTAAAGGCTGTTCTCCAATTGGAGCGCTCGCAGGCCAGTGTTTCCCAGTTGTCAGTGTTTATACTATATTTTTAAAGATTTGCCTTGAGGGAGTCTTTGAACCTCTTGTTGACCACCGGCATTACACTTTCCATTTTTAAGTTCAGAATAGAGTAGTTGCCAACTTGAATAAAATATGGGGGGCAGCTAAGGCCCACCCCGCATAATCGATCATAAGACACGCATACTATTTGAATGGCAATGCTTATCAACTTTTGGGGGGGCTGGAGCCCTCAAATATTTTGGGGGGGGAGGGTCGAGGGCACCTTGGTCCCTAGGAGATGGCTTGTATGCGCTCGTCTTGGCCTAACAGGGTTGCTGTGAGGGTTACATGGGGAAGAGGAGAATGATGCACACCACTTGGAAGAAAAGATTGCCTGCAAATGTACAGTGGTACCTCAGGTTACATACACTTCAGGTTACAGACCCCGCTAACCCAGAAATAGTACCTCGGGTTAAGAACTTTGCTTCAGGATGAGAACAGAAATCGTGCTCCGGCGGTGCGGCGGCAGCGGGAGGCCCCATTAGCTAAAGTGGTGCTTCAGGTTAAGAACCGTTTCAGGTTAAGAACAGACCTCCGGAACGAATTAAGTATACTTAACCCGAGGTACCACTGTACTTTTTGTTGTTAGCTTTGAAAAGCAGGGTAGATGTTACTCAGAAGGAAGCTCTGTGGAACTCAACTGACTTTGAAGCCTAGGTGCCCAGGAACAAGTGGCGAAAAGGAAGATAAGGCATGCAGGAAATGGAACACAAAATCCCAGCTCCTCTGCCCCCACAATGTAGCTGCCAAGAGAAACATGCATGCATGCTGATCCCACAACAACAAACAGCACCCCCTTGGAAGTACTAAGCTTCCAGTAATCTGGAACAGCAAACAAAAATCCAGCAAGTGGAGCTTTTCAGCAGAGCTTTCCAGCTGCATACAGGCTGTGCATTCAAAGTGCGTTGCCCCCCTCCCTTTCCTTAAAAGAAATAAAGAACCCTGGGAACTGTAGTTTGGCCCTCACAGAGCTAGACTTCCCAGCACCCTTAACACAAATACACTTCCCAGAATCCGTACGTGTGTGTTTATGTGCTTTAAACGTATGAAGAGGGCAGCTTCGCAACTATAAAAGTTCTGCTTGCCTTGCAGCCGTGCACAGAGGCAGAGGAGCCCTATGGGATGGGAAACGTTGGCAACCCACAGAAGCACAAACAACCCCAACCAACCGTACTGCCAAATAAATTCAATGTAAGGTTGCTGCTGCTGCTGTTATTGTTTCAAGAGCGGGGTAGAAGGGTCGCGATCCTGCCTGCCACCCTTCGGGGTGGAGGAGGGGGCGCCTCGGATCAGCTCACCTGTCGGAAGAGCAGCCCCTGGCGCTGCGCGGTGCGGACGCAGTAGCATCGCCGGGGAAGGCTGGCCCGGGCCGGAGCGGCGCCCAGGACCCGCAGAGCAGCCGCGGCTGCAGCAGAACATCTCCGCGACAGAGACATCGGGCGCGCCACACTTGGTGGAAATGAAAGGAGAGGAGCGACGCCCTTTAAAAGTTCAGAGGCTGGGTCAGGAGCGGCGGCGGAAAAGTGGGCGGGCTGAGGGCTTCCTTAAAGCGCCACGCACCGGCAGGAGCCCTCTCCTTGTTTTGGCTTTTCCTGCCAACTGACGAACCTTTTTATGAATGCAGGAGCAAGAGCCGGCGTGCCAAAAAGTCCTGTTTAATGCTACTGTAATCACAAGATTTACTGGCAGAAAACTCTTAACCTGGGCTTTGGTCCCAAGGGCAAAGCGTCTTCCACAGAACCCTTGCCACAAGTCGCGATAAGAGCTAGAGAGCCGACTTGTCCAGATAAACACATTCTAGGAATGAGAGTTCTTATGGACTCCACCAGATTGACTCCGCCAGATGACTGATTGCTCAGATAATACATTCCAGAGAAACCCATTTGGCGGAGTTCACCCCCTTCAACACACATTCATGCACACAGTCCATTCATGCACACATGGGTAAGAATGAAGAACCTTCAGCGTTTTGCTTTGCAGTACATTATAACTTACTTTGGCTAGGATTTATTCAATCCTCTTCCTGCCTGAGGTTCCTACCTTTCCCACCTTCTGCAGTCACTGATCAGTACTGTCTTAGGGACTGGCCATTGTGAAGTATTTAATTTAAGGCTAAGACGCACTGTTGAATACTATTTGCCTATGTGTGATTATCTGCAAAGGTGTATGTTTAAGTCTCTGGCTGGCTGGCTGGGGCATCACCAGCACTGCACTTTGCAGCATGCACGACCATCCTGTAAGCAAATTAAAATAAATTTAAAAATAAGGTTTTTAAAATGGGGGAGGGGGGAGCCAGGAGATCTGGGGCCCAGTGCAAAAAATCTGGGACTTGGGCCTCCCACCCCTGAAATGCAATGCACCTGTCCCAGCAGCATAACTATAGCTAAGACTATATATTCTTCCACTCACAAAGTAGGGTAGTCTAATCCACATTCACAAAGTGGGTATATCATTCATTTCAATGAACTACCATCACTATAACACTTTTAAAATCAAAGACAGGCAAGGGCACCTGGCTAGCTCAAAGTAGAGCTGAACCGGCAGGTGTAAAGTCTACGTGCAGGGAGGTTCTCGTAAACAAGAAGCCTGCAACGATTACATGCTATCGTTCTTTGTGCAAAGGGCAGCCTCGTTTTTCTGTTTTACAACGCTAAAATGTGTGTACTTAAGCTACATGGATATTACTGCAGTTTGCTGCGTGACTTGGGGGACGCTGTGCGAGCACTAGAGGGTAGGGCATGTCTGTGTGTAAAAGGTGAGGCAGTGGGATTTGTTGGTGCAATACAATATGGAGGGATATGACTATACATAGCCAGAGCACACAGTCGAGGTGTATATATACATTATCTTTAGGGTGGAGAGCTGGAAATCTTTAACTAGTGCAATTACACTTCAATTTCAATGTTTAACATCGTCGTTTTCTATAGCCCAAAGGGCAAGAGATGTACGGTATTCTTGCGTGAGATGGGAGGGGGATACATTTTAATTTTATTTTTTGCATTGTGTGGGTGGGTACTTTTGATAGAGAGAGAGAGAACAGGGAAAGAGGTTTTACTTGCAACACAGCAGATCATGGTAGAAAAAGTGGTCTTTTATTGGGCTTCCTTCCTTATTTATTCCATTTATATCCCACTTTTTTATCTAAGAAGTTCAAGGGGCATACATGGCACTCCGCCTCTCTCCTCATTTAAACCTCACAACTACCCTGTGAGGTAGGTTAGGATGAAAGGCAGTGACTGGCCCAAGGTCACCCAGTGAGCTTTGTGGCCGAGTGAGAATTTGAATCCTCTTCTCCCATGTCCTTTTTGGACCATCTAAGCACTACACCACCACTGACTTACACACAGCCTTCTTTTTTTGCAGGTAGAAATGCCCCTATACTTTACTTACTTATTAAAAAGGCTGCAAACTGACATTTCCTGTTTTATATAGGGGGCGGGGCAGGGATGTCTGTATAGGAGGCAGAACAGGTTCTGGCAAATTTCAGCACCAAGTCCAAATGCCCAGCTTTCATCCCTAGTAAAAACGGCCTTGACTTAATGTGAGAATATTCTGGAACACAAAGAGATTTTCCAAAGGCGATTGTATATAATAATGCTCACACATCCATCCATCCTAATACAGCATCAGTAAATAGCTCCCACACTTTTAAAACGTTGACCCGCTCCTGGAGTGTGACTAACCTTAGTTTGAAACACAGACATTAACGAGGGAAAGAGCTGCTGCTCAGTGGCTGAGCAACTGCTTTGCATGCAAAAGGTCCTGGGGTTCAATCTCTAGGCTGGGTTGGGGGAAAACCCTCGTCTGAAATCCTAGATGGCTTGCTGCCAAGGCAGTGTGGACAATACTGAGCTAGATGGACCAGTGAAAAGCAGCTTAGATGTTTGCCTGCCAGAAAAATGCTGCATTTGCTACACGTCCAGAAGGCTTTTCTATTGGAGGAAAACCTGGACAGCATAGAACTCAGAACACAAGCTCATTGGCAAAAAAGAAAAAGGCGATTAGGTTTGTCCGTCTCCAGCCACCGTTAAACGTCGTTTATCCGCGCTCCTCTGTGGGCGAAACCATTCGGCGGAGAGGTGAATATGAAATCATCCCTGGATGTGGTTCTGCCCGGGCGTGCTCATTTTGCCAGCAAGGCTTGCTCAGTTGATTCTGCTGCAGGTAGTTCCTCTCTGTTCCGTATAGATTGCTTCTGGTTTTTGTATAATCTCGCTTCCTTCGGCTGCTTGTGATTTAGTCCTTTTAAAAAATATATTTTTATTTTCGCATTTTCCCGTCTGTTTGCGCGCGCGCGCACTTCTAGGCAGCGCGGAGTTTTGCATTTCAATGTACGGTACTTTCCAAAACTAAACCAAATTGAAGAGCTCCTCGCTGCTCCCGTTGCCTGTGCTTCCTCAACTTCATTCTAAGAAGCAGCTTAATAATAATAATTTATTATTTGCATGCCCAAAGCATAAAAATCTATGCGTAAAAGAAAAGCGGGAGAATAATACAGTTCTTTAGAAGTTTTTTTTTTTTAGCCAATGCAAGAAACGCTCTTAAAATTGCACCCACCCCCTTGATGCAATATGATCTTCCAAAGCGGGTCTCTCTGAAACTCTGGATTCTTGATACTTGAAATCCTGCCTGTTTTTAAGGGTCCTGGGACATCATGGCCTAAAGGCATCTTGTTCCAACCGTCTCGGCTCAAGTTACGCAGGTTCTGGTCTGGTCAGTGTCCAGATCATGAGGAATGTTTGGGAAACGCCTCCCCTGGACTTCCATGGAAGAAAGGCAGGGTAGAGGTGTAATAACATTTCCTTGCTTCCAACACCGCCTTGCCTTTAAGTCTGTATCCGTCTGCAGGGCTGCAGTCTTAATAGTAAGCAATAATAATGCAGAGAAAAGGTGGGCTCCTCTCTTCCCTGAAAATTAGCACCACCCTCCCTGTCTTTCTCGAGTTAGGGAGCAGGCATCGAAGGAGTAAAATTCTGCCGCCCCAGGGCAGACTTAAGGACCAGCTTCCTCTCTTTAAGAACAGAGGCTGCAAAATTAAACACCCACGCAGCCCTCTCATATCCAGGTTAGTCCTCGAGGCAAGTACCTTGCTACATTCAATGAGCTTCCTGCTTTCTTGGAAGGAAGCCAAGTTGAAATCGATGGGATGGGACTTAAGTCTGGCGCCATCAGGACAGGAGTTAGGGCAGATGTCCTCCTCTCAGCAGAAAGTGCAGCAGGGCCCTTAAGCGCAACCTGGCTGGCAGTGCCACATCGTGGAGGAACTGAAGCCACGCACATTTCCATTCTGAAGGAGGTGTGTGTAAGAGGTTAAGCCCATAGTCTCTCTACTGCTAGGTAAACCTGGTTAGGATATAAAAAATTCCTCCCACTAGCACCTTAGAGACCAACTAAGTTTGTTATTGGTCTCTAAGGTGCTACTGGAAGGAATTTTTTAATTTTGTTTCGACTGCGGCAGACCAACAGGGCTACCTACCTGTAACTGGTTAGGATATGGCCTTGAACGGAGAGGTGGTGGTGCATCGTTATATAGCGCTGGCTATATATATTGGGCAGTAAGATCTAGCGGGTGTTCTTTCCGAAATATGTCTGCATGGAAGCACCCGGCCACATGTATATAATTGCTTAAGCTGTAAGTGGCCCTGAACTCAGCGGGGCTTACTTCCAAGTAGCCCTACTGCATAGGCTGGTAGCAGCATCCTCTGACGTCCAGAGGGGTTTGGTTTTGTATATTTATTTAGTAGGTCTTAACTAACCAGTAACCATGCATGCGTAAGATTTTGCAAGAGTTTGCTTTCAAATAAACATTGCTAACAAGAGTATTTATTTAATAATAATAATAATAATAATAATACTTATCCAGCTCCCCCCCCCCACTTCGCCCAGCTCAGAGCAGGCCCATTGGAATGAATGATTTCGGTTCTAAACAGAATTTAGTTGCATGCACGATGGTGGGGGTCTAGGTCTGCAAATTGAAGAGCTCCCAGGGACGGCCGTAGCCGTCATCGCGACCTCATCACGTTTATTACATTTCCCCCCCATCCCTCCCCAACACACACATACCCCTACTTTGCAAAATAAATAAATAAATACCGGGGAAGGCGCGGATTGGCCGAGGAAGCTGCGAGTAAGGAAAGACCCCTCCTCGCCAGTCAGCCAGCCGGATTGGTGCTGTTGCTGCGCCCGCCCGTCGCTGGGGACCGGCCTGGGAAGGGATGCGGTGGGGCGCACGACCTGGCCCCCCGCGGGGACAGCATGACCCGGCGCGATCGGCTCATGAAGGGGAGACCCCAGAGGCAGCCTGAGGCCGGGGGAGGCTCCCGGGCCGGTGAGTGGCGTCTGGGGGGAGCGAGGGGGCGGGCGGGCAGCAGGAGGAAGGCCCAGCTGCTCAGCTGCATACATAGATGCGGTGAAAAGGCGAGGGATGCCCAGCGGTGGGGTGCCAAAAAATGGGGAGTCCCCGCTGCATTCGGATTTGAAGGTGGTTTTGCATTTGCTCCAGGCCCTGGCGCGTCCGGGTGAAGAAAGGGGCAGTTTTTATTTTCCTCTCCGCCCCTCCCCCCCAAAAAAGACTAAACCGGTTTGAAAGCACACACCCCAATATGGTGTGAAGCCGGGTGCATTGCACCAAATCCAGATTTCCCTCGGTGGTAATACGAATCACATTTCAAGCTCCTGGTCTCCTGTCCACTGTCTGACTGGTTTTGGGGAAGGAGGGCCAGCTGTAAGGGAAGGGGCTGCCCTATAACAGCAAGAGCTGTTGTCTGTGTTTACAGGGAAGTAAGTGCCACTCTGCTTCATGGGGCTTACTCCCAGGTAAGTGTGCAGAGGATGGCTGCCTTGGTTGCATTTTTTAAAAGAAAAATGCTATGATGAAAACATTGTGGTTCGTGGCTGGTGCAAACTCTACATCCTGCACACCCTCTTCTTAAGGAACTAGGTCAGGGGGCTCACGCTCAAATGATTTGGGCCCAGCACCAAACAACTCCGTTCCACCACAATCCTATGTGTGCTTACTCAAAAGTAACACCCACGGTGTCCAGTGGTGCTTGCATGTGGATAAGTGTGTCTGGGATTTCAGACTGCGAAACTGGACTTCCCTGGAAAGCCAACAGCTTGCTCTTTAAACATACTGTATATATAAGCTATTTATATATAATAGTATATATAAGCTGTTTTGCTTGTAATTGTTGCATATGCAAACATTTGCCTTGCTAGGTCCTGAGGCATCGCTCCCCGCTCTAAAAATAAAAAGGACTGTGCTTGAAAGAGGTACCTGCCCAAGTCAGAGCCCTTCTGAAGCGACTTACTCAACTGAGTAAACATGCAGTGATGTGATTTCTGTGAATTACTGTTGTTATTATTATTAGTAGTAGTAATTGAATTTCTATCCCGCCCTTCACCCGGGGATCGTGTGGCAGTTTACAATATAAAAACACAAAAAATGCGCAACAGACCAAACAAAACATAAGTCCCTTTTCGCAAGGAGCTCTGGGAACTGTAGCGCTGTGAGGGGAATGCATTGCCAACAACTCTCAGCAGCCTGAACAAACTACAGTTCCCAGAATTCCTTGGGGGAAAGCCATGACTGTGTGAAGGGGCATCTCGGTGCTTTAAATGTGTGGACGTGGTCCCAATTCGTTGCTGGCCTCCCAACTGTCTCCAGCGCCAGCCAGCACGGCCAATGGTCTGTTTCCAGCAGATATTGTTTCTGCAGCTTCCTGCCATCAGGAAGCTACTGGAAGGGAGGATATTGGGGTCTGGCCCTCTTTTGCATAGGGCACCATCTGATCTGAAAGCTTTTCCCTGTAATACTTGGTTTGCAAATGCTGTTAGTTTTCTTTCTCCTCTCTGCCTTATCCACCAACTCCTCCTCTCTGGCCTGTATTCCAAGCGAGTTTCCATAGCAACTCCACACTTAGGCCAAGAGCAGAATCGAGCAGTAATTGGATCCCGGGGCCTTTCGGGAGACATGAAGCCATGAGGGAACCCTGCGATTGAAGTACCATTAGTTAACACAGTTCTGATCCATACGCTGCCCGCCTGACCCTGGCAAAACCGAGGCCAAGCCTGTAAATGAGGGTGCAGGAATAACCAGCCCGTTTGCCCACGCATCCTCGTAAAGGTTGTGTGAGGCTTGGAAACGGGGGGAAAGGCCTATTTGCACAGATCTGGCCTCCCTAGTCACCTCGAGCTGCTTCTCGCTCACCATAGGCGACCAGGCAATGGGGCTGTTTACAAGCCTGTACAAGATGTGAGGGGACTGGATTTCTGCATTTTATTTTTAAAATTAAACGTCGTTGTGAGTGATGGGAGCGGGGTGGCGATACATTTTCCCGTTGCTATATATTTCCCTGTTAAATCTCTATCTACGATGCATTGCTTCATTAAGATGAATTAGCAACATAATGAATGGGATGCCAGTGTTATATCGAGTCCAGTTGGCAGCTTCCAAGGCATGCTGAAATGAGTGTATTAACAGATTTTCATTTGAAAAGAGAAGTGTGTGCGATTGAGCTATGTGTAAGTATTTCGACAAGAAATAATCTGGAAGAAACTCTAAATTGGTTTGATTGTAACATTCTCCTATGCTAAGTGTGCTTTGTTGTGTTCCCCCCACCCCCGACAATTAAATATGTCAGTTCAAATTTTATTTATCATTGTTATTTATTAAATTTGTATACCTCCCTATACCCGTAGATCTCAGGGCAGTTACCATTCTCTTCCCCCCCCCCCAAATACAAGCTATTAGGGGGGAAAAACACTTTTGAGCTACTTATACAACATGCAAAATGAACATAGGGTGCATATTTTTAGAAATGTTGACTAAATGTAAGTCAAGCATGCTCAATCGAATCCCAATCGCTTTGGGGCATCAGGACATAAAATGTCCCCGAAAGCCCACATCACTGTCAGGAGAGCGAGCGAGCAGTTTTTATTCGATTTGCAGTGCCAGGGGTCGCTGGCAGTTGTTTAATTTTTTCTCCCTGCCCTCTTTCCCCAGTCAAAATCCCCATCACCACTGCTACTGGTATTAAAAAATGCATTCCTTTATTCTACCCTCCATCCCTTTCAAACAGGGCTAATAACTTCTGGAGGGAAAATCTCCAGTGGGGGTGGGAGCCTTCAGCTCTGCTCCTCCAATCAAAATCGGAGCCACTTAAGTTGGTTTTTGAATTTTTTTATTTATTTAGGGAATCTAACGACTCCTGTTTTGCACACAGATGCCTTGTGCCTAGGGCCAAGTGTCCAGCGGCAGCACCAGGAATCTCTTACTGGGTGCCAAATCAAGGTTCTTAGTGAGGAAATAAATATATAAATACATTTTTTGTGTTTGTTTTGTTTCAAAAAGCCCCACCAAGTTCCTAGTCCTTAGGCCTAGATAAGTAGGCTTGAAAGTGCACGACCAATCTCCCAGGCCAGAGAGTGAGTGGCTCTGTAGGATTTCTAGCAGCCAAGGACAAGGTTTCAGTCTCCCTCTGCCCCCCACAATGAGCAGAAACGGAACGAACAATGTAAAAGGAACATCTGACTGGATGTAAGGCAGTTTCCTGTGTTCTGTCTTGCGCTTCTCAGAACATTGATTCCCGAGTTTCTCTTTATATATTCTATCTTCACGATGGATGACCGTGCCATGGTGATAAAACCATTTCCCTCTGTTTGTGCAGGTTACATTCTCGCCCGACCAAGCCTTGTCCTGATGCTGGAAAGGGGGGAACAGCCTTGCATGAGCAACAGCAAGATCAGCGTGGGCACCAACCCTCTGAGCAGCAGTGTTGCGGGTAAGGGGGCGTCTGGAAAGCCAGCCTGGAGCATCCTGACCTGATCTCCTAGGACTTAGGTCATGTGCGCACCATAAATCTAAAGCCCTGTGATAACGCTTTAAACAGCCATGGCTTTCCCTCCAAAAGGAAATGAATGAAGTTGAGACACTTGGATTTAAAATAAATATTGTTTAACAGAAAGTGGAGAAGATGGGTGTTAACCATGGAATGATGCCTTAAATAAATTTTTTAATGTAACTGGAAGATGGAAAATGGGAATTTTTTCTTTATTACTTCATTTTTCTTTCGTTTTCTCTCTTTTCCCTGCTGCTTTCTTTTTCTTTTCTTTTTTGGTGTTCTCTGTTTGGAAATTTTATTAGGGTCCAGGGATTGTACACTCTTGAGGGTCGTAGATGGTTGATGGAGGGGCCCTGGGTGGGAGGCGGGGAAATATTGGTTGACAGGGAGGATAAAGGAAAGAAAGATCCCAGGTGAGAGCTGGGAGGGCCTACCACCGTCTGCAGTAAGGGTTAAGAACTACTTTTAAGAGAAGACCTTGTATGCTATTACAGTGGTACCTTGGTACTCAAACTTAATACATTCTGGGAGTCCGTTCGACTCCCAAAATGGTTCGAAAACCAAGGCGTGGCTTCTGATTGGCTGCAGGAGCTTCCTGCACCCAATTGGACACCGTGTAAGCTGTGTCGGATGTTCGGCTTCCGAAAAAACGTTTGCAAACCGGAACACTTACTTCTGGGTTTGCGGCGTTCAGGAGCCAAAACGTGCGAGTACCAAGGCGTTCGAGAACTAAGGTACGGCTGTATTACTTTTTGTAGCTGTTTTTGTTTTTTATTTACCTTAGCGTTTTTTCTTTACCCTGGTAGCTTAGTGTATCTCTTACTGTGTCATGAAAAAACTTTAATAAAAGTATTAACAACAACTAGAGTTCCCCCCCGCAAAGAATCCTGGGAGTTATAGCTTGTTCAGGGTGCTGAGAGTTCTCAGGAGGTCTTGTTCCCCTCCAAGAGCTACAATTCCTAGAGGGAATTAGTGATCAGTTCTCTTCCACAGGGAACTACAGGGATTGTGCTGACTTCGGGAGGTGAGTGGCAGCAAGGGTGCATCAGTCCCCATTTAGTGAGTGGACTGATGAGAAGCTAGAGAGGTGGGACAGAGAAATGGCTAGATGTGGGAATGGCCCCCTGGTTGATGAGGATGGCCAGCTTCTGACACCCTCCTTTCCCTTCCCCTTCCAGACTCACAGGCCCTGAAAGAGAACACCAAGTCGCCTTCGCCCGCGGCTCTGTCTTCACCGCCCGCCACGGAGTCACCCAAGCCTGCCCGGCCCCGCCGCCCCCGCCCCCGGCCGTGCTGCCCTCCGAGCGCCCCTACCAGTGCAAAGACTGCGGCAAGCGCTTCGTGTACCGCTCCAAGCTGGCCACGCACCAGTGGACCCACTGCGCCGAGCGCCCGTACAAATGCCCCGACTGCCCCAAGAGTTTCAGCTACCCGTCCAAGCTGGCGGCCCACCGCCGCACGCACACCGGCGAGCGGCCCTACCCCTGCACGCTCTGCCCCAAGCGCTTCGGACACCGCTCCAAGCTGGCTGCCCACCAGTGGATCCACACGCCCGAGCGCCCCTACAAATGCGCCGACTGCCCGAAGAGCTTCTGCTACCCTTCCAAGCTGGCTGCCCACCGCCGCACGCACACGGGGCAGCGGCCCTACCCCTGCAACCGCTGCGGGAAGAGCTTCTGCTACCCGTCCAAGCTGGCGGCCCACCAGCAGATCCACGCGGCCGCTGCGGCTGGGCGGCCCTACCCGTGCATGCGCTGCAGCAAGAGCTTCCGGCAGCTGCGCAACCTCACGCTCCACCAGCGGGTGCACGAGGACGGGGAAGTGGGGGATGACTTGTCCCAAAGCAAAGGCCACAGCAACGGAGAGAGGCCGTAGAGCGGAGATCTGAAGCGACTGGACAACGCGGGGGTGCGGGGAGGAAATTGGCTAACTTGGATGCTTGGTGGGTGCGGTGGGATCATTGTAAATAACGGCAAGGGAGAGGGGGTTTGGGGTTTACACAGAGATGCGCTTTGAGGACCCATAGTTGCTCAGCTCTTTTGTTGCGGGTCTTGCCGCTGTCCCCCCCCCCCTACAGTGCCAAGTTGACGTGTGTGTTCTCTCCGCCTCCCCATAGCCCAAGCTGTGTATACCATGCTGAAAAAAAGCCAAAGTGTGTGTTGTTCAGAGAACCCCGGTTCCACCCTCAGAAACGGCATATTCTGCAACCTGACTAACTTGTGCATTGTTGAGATGTGCACGTAGGAGGGGCAGAGCAACCTCAGCACCCCACTGATTCTGCAAAACAAGCCCAGCCACCTTTGAATCCCAATTTCACAAGAAGCTTGCATAAATTCATAGAAAATGGATGGATATGCACAAATCTTCCGGAGAGCAGAATTCTGCCATTGCTTTGTATGACCTCTGACCATTGCCCAGGCTGTCTCTTGTCTGTGTTCAGTTGGCGCATGCTTACATTGGAATGCAGAGGTCAGCATCTTCACAGTCCAAGTTAGGCCTGTCAAACTTGGCATTTTCTGGGTTGTACATCATCTGCCTCCTGTGGCTTATCAAACCCTGTTTGTGCCTCCGGCCTATGGCTAAAGAGAAGGGGGACAGTTTTAACAACCTGGCATGCCGCGCACACACTGGTGTCACACAGTGTGTGCGATAGAAGTTGCTAGTCCTTATGAAGGCACAGATAAGTCTGAAAATGTGGTTGTGGCATCTGCGAAATTGCCAGGGGTAGCTTAAGCCGAAATGCCAAGAATCCATGAATTTTTTGGGGTGTGCTCACACGCTACATTCTGTACAGTGGTGGGCCCTCCCAACAAGTAGCAGTAGAATAATTTTGCAAATGTTATGTGTTGTGTTCATCTGCCATTTTTAAATTTTTGCTTCAGTTGGCATGGAATCTTACCTCTCAGCCAGCTGCTGTAAAAACTGGTGGCTCTGGGCTTCTGTCCCTGATCCCATCAAAATATGTCCCTAGCCATTTACAACATGTACTGAAAACTGCTTAAGCACACAGATTTCTAGTGCTGGATTTGGATGGCTGGATTTCCCACCCCCACCCCCATCACTTGGTTTACACAACTTTTACTACCCGGTTCCTTTGCTTCTTCCTTGTGACCGTTTCACCACATGCCTAGAGAGGCAGTCCCACAAACCTGCCTTCCTTTGTTACGCCTCCCCCCCCCACAAATTCCCCACTTTTGGGGGTTACTGTCTTGCCTCTTGGTTCAAATGTTGGATTTCTAAGACGCAGTGTGTTCCAATCTCCCACTTTTTAGACACATGTCCACCTTTCCACCACCCCTTTCTTGGATGGATGAATTCTACACACACACTCCTTGTCCTTGTACCGTTTGCCAAAGCATCTTTTGCCTTCTCACCCCCACCCACCCCACCCCAAAGGCATTTGTTCAGATTGTTGCAAGGGAGGTGGGGAGGGGGTGTTGATTGATCCATGGTATGTTTGTAGTTGATACTAAAAAAAAAAAAATGGGACTCCCCTGGGAGGCTGGAGTTTTTTTGTCTTATTTTTCTTGGAAAAAAATAATAAAACTTATAAAAGTTTAGTGAACCGGGTTAAGTTGAGCTTGGAGCATATGACAAATGCAGAATTTTGGGGAGCAGAAGACAGGTGTAGCATCATTGGCCAAAGGCAGCTTACTTCTTGCATATTAGATGGTAGGAAAAGAGGGAGGTGCCCGCTTTCAAAGCATTTTGATACGAAAAACAGGCAGCTAGATTAAATTGGATGTCCATTAGAGCCAAAAAAGCAGTTACTTAACTGTTGTTGCTGGTACAGATCAAAGCACTTATGCCTAAATATTCCAGATTTTGTAAGCGTTTAAAAAAAGCACAGACCCAAGTCAGATATCTCTTCCACACATTAAGTTAGACAGAGGAGGAAGGTGGAGGGAGACAAATAGTGATGTCAGTCCTAGGGGTAATTGCCTTGGCTTGAACTTTTAAATGGTTGATACAAATAGTTTGTGGGTTTCTAAGTAATGCAATTATGTCAGAAAGAAGAGAAGCATTTGGGGCTTTATGAGCAGGACAGAAGGAAGGCAGGGAATGGAGACCTCAGGGGGAAGGTGCCAGTCGTTTTACTGTGTGTTCAAGCAATTCCACACCACCCTCAATTGCCACATTATAAGCCAAAACTGCCACTATCAACATCAGGAGCCCTTTTAAAAGCTTAGATGCATGACTTGCTGTCCAGAACTGTTGAGACCCTGTTAGAAATCATCATGTGAATATTCTGACACCTGTTTCTTCTCAGTAAGATCTTAGGAGGTTGTTACAATCTCTCTGTTCTGTGGCGCAGAAGAGCAGTTTGAGACTGAGATTTTGTTTTCATTTCTTTTATTTTTTTATTAAAAAAAACCCCCACAACAAACCAGATTGGAGGGGGAAAGAAGACATGAATACATCCCTGGAGGAGATTCGTCACAACTTTTGGAACCTCATGCAAACTGTAATGAACCATAGGTATAATTCATTTTTAAAAACCAAGAAGCCCTTAATCTTGGGACATGTGAGCTGTGATGCAAACTTGATACAGTTTAAATGCTACGCCTCCCCCCACCCCCATAGCAACCCTGAACGTGGCAGATTTTAGAAGGGGTGTGTGTGAATTCTCATTGCACTCCCAAAGCTAGTTCCCCTCTGGTGAGTAGTCAAGATAGCTTATTAAAAAAACACCATTGCCCTTTACTGTCACCTGAAAGCCATCACCAGCTTCTTGGGAATCATAGCTGAGCAAACTCCAGAGCATCCCATGCTTTTCAACAATTTCTGGCTAACACTGTAATGCCCCCTACTTAGGGACAAGCTAATCCTCCCTTCCAAAGAGGCATTGGAGTAAACAGGAGGCCAACATGGTACCGCCATCTTTTGTTGTTATAGCTCCCATCAACGCTGTCCGTTGGTCATGCTGATTCAAGCACCCTATTGGTAGGCTTCTGCCTTCTTCTTACCCACGCCTGTGATCTCTGGGCTTCCACATAGCAGGACGTAGTGGAAAATGGAAGGTGGTAGCTGACTTCCCATTTAAGCATCAAAGCTAAGGGTTCAAGTGGAGAAACTCTGTATTGGAGATGTTATATACATTGGGGCCAAGTAGAGTCCATAGAAATGGGCCATTTGCAGCCCTTTCCTAAAGCTGGGAAGCTCCTGTGAGTAATCAGCTTATTTACTGTAGTTTATCCATGAACGTAAGGACAGAGAAGAGTTGCTGGCTTGATCCCCAGCGCTGAGGGCAGCACCAATGATGTGGGGGAAGAGATGGGCTGTAAAAACGAGGTAGATTATTCAAGGCCTCTCAGTCCAGTTCACAGCCAGGGAAAATAAGGAAGGAACATGCAATTTTGGGGGGTCTGGGGCAGAACACCACTCTTCCCCCCCCAAAAAAAAGCTCACCAGGAAGCAGAACTGAAGGGTGGGTTTTTCTGCTGTTTCCCTTCCAGCGAAATCTGAAGAGAGTTCTTTGCCCAGGGTAAAAATTAAAGAGTGGAACAGACAACTCCCTGCTGAAATGAATCAAATTATAAGACAATTCACTCCAGCTGCTTTTTTTGCTTCCTATAGGAGAAATCTGAGGCTTGGGCCATAAGAGCTGCAATATAAAACTTAGTATGATTTTAACAGTCATAGTTTCTCCCAATAGCAACCCTGAACACTGTTTAAAGCGGTTGTGTGTGAGAACGCTTAGCATCAAAGCATCTCTGTACCTGGGCCAAGCATGCCACTTAGGATTCTATGCTCGGTCACCGTATGGAGTCTACTCCAAATACCACATGCTTATAACGGAGCTGTGTAAGACACAGAGCAAGTACACTGAGCTTAAAAAGGAATGTGAACTCAGGGACTGGATATTACACTGCGGGCCTCATTTGAACATGATTTTCCAGAGGTGGTCGTAGAAATGCAGGTGAGCAGAATGTCAACCAAAATGGTAATGCACACTTGTGAGTGGTTAATTCCTGAATTCTAAAAACGGGGTTGGATTTGCCCCATGGTCAGGCCAGCATTACCACTGATTGTTCATATGCTCAGGTTTGCTGAATCTGCAGACGGAGGAACAAATTTCGTCTGCAAAAATGGAAGCTTGTGATGGGGTGGCCTTAGTCACAAAATGAAAAGGGGTCAAGGAGCAGGAGGCAAACATCAACTCCTGTAAAACTGGGAGCAAGGCAGAGCTTGTATAGAGGGACAGGTGCCTCCGTTCTAAGGACAACGTTTGTCTCAGAATATCCACCTTGAAATGGCCAGTGTCCTCAGCTATATACATATATATAGATAGATAGAGAGATAGAGAAAAGTTAACTGACTGGCAAGAATACACACAGCCTCCTAGGAAGTGATGGGGGGGGGAGAGGGAAAAAGAGAAATAAAAAGAGTGAAATGAGAACCAGGGTCAGGAGAGGGTCCCAAAAATAAAAGGATTGTTTGGAGGATGCATTTTGCTTTCCCAGTTGCACCCTCGCCCCTTATTAGTCCAAACTAAGTTCCCACTCCACTTATTAAGCCCTTGAGAGAGTTGACACTAGCCCTAATCCAGAGCAGCTCACCACGACTGCCACTGTGCACCATGGAGGCTTTCTACACTGATTTCTCCAGAGCAGCTCGAGTTATTTCTGAAAATGAAATCGTGTCCCATGTGAGCTGGGGTAGCTACTGCTGGAGCAAGCAATAGTAGAAAAAAGGCCCTCAAAATCCCAGCTGCGTCTGTGTGTGAGTGTAGAAACAGGGCTGCTGGAGAAGGCCCTTGAGAGGAAGGAACGTCCCAGTGGAAAAACGAGTGAGAGAGAGCATGGTGTCAAGTGGCCCCAAGGAGAAGGAAAGCTGTTTGCTCCAGAGGGAGTATACAGGACCCACAGGGACGTGCCTGCAGGGAGGAGACCGGCCTACACTCGTGGTACCACAACATAGGGCTGGTGGGGGATCAGCTTCTGCCGCTGGTTGCAGATGTAGATCCAGCGGGGGCGCACGAAGGAGAGGTTGGCATTCTCGTTCAGAGCCTGCAATAGAAAGGAGAAAACGCTGGCACTTGGAAGTCCCTGGCCCCACCCCAAAAGGCGGAGCCAGTCCATCCTGATGCAATGCCTACCTGTTGTGGACCAGCACAAGCATTTAAATGAGGTTGCCCCGGTTCACATTTTATCTTGGTCACAGAGCGAGAGACAGCGGGGTGCTGTGGTTAGAACCAGGTTTCCCCACTTTGTCTGACACTCTAATTCCCTACTGAAGCACAGAGCTTGCTGGTTTCTTTGGGCTAGTTACAGATGGGCAGGGTATAAGTAAAATTAAAACAACAAAAACAAACATCAACAAGGAATATTATTCTTCAACCTCAGCCCCCACCTCTACAGCAATGTAACATTAAACATGTGGGTCATCGTAAGGATGCTGAAAAGCTCTTGAAGCATTTCAAAGCATAAAATGCTAAAAAGTGCTACTATGATAATTTGTTTCTGCCACAGTTGCCTTTGGAACCAGCCTCCTGTGTTTATCTCCATCCGTTATCTACGGGGCCACCTGAAAAGTGTGTCATGGCTTACAGATGGTGGGGCTAGACCAGTGCAGGCCTACAAAGCTGGCTGGATGAGCTCACCTCCTCAAACGTGTCGTCCCACTCTTGAGCTGTGATCACATAATTCACTCGCTCATTCATATAGTCCTCCACTTGCCTGCAAGCAGAAGAGAAGCATTTCCCTCACAATAATTTACAGCCACCTTTTCCTCCTCCCCTAAGAGCAGAAAGAAGTGATCTTGAAATACACTTGAGATTGCAGAATTGGAACAAATGGCTGGTTCACATGACATACTAAGCCAACCTGGCTCACCCTCCAGATGTTTTGGTGAGTTGGCTGGGGCTGATGGGAGTTGTGGTCCGAAACCTCTGGGAGGGGGGGTGCCAGGTTGGCAAAGGTTGTACTAAGCCAAACTTGAACATATGGTTTCCTAGGGAGGACGTTGTACCCACTTGGCTCCTTCTCCCAGGTCATTTTTGCTGCCACACCAAGCTAGACAAGATTTGGCTTAGCATGGCCTCTGAACCAGGACTTGTGGCTAAACTCTCCCTCAATTAGCCGCAAGCTGTAGCCAAGGTTTGTTCTAAATCCGACATCTCATGGGCGCCCTCTCACCAAAAAAGGAAAAGGAAAGTAGTAGATTGTACCCAGATCCACAGAAATTAATGGATATGACTAACTTAATTTCAATGGGTCTACTCTGAGTAGTATTTTTAAATGGATTGATAAAGTATGTATGCAAGTATAACATGCCTAATGTTACAGTATATTGTTTGAATTGTGCTTTTTAAAATTTAGCTGGCCCTGACAAAAAGAGTATGATATATTCAAAGCATGTTAGGCATGAAGGAGTGGACAGTCAAGACGCTACGTAGTTTTTGGTTCCTCTCTTCCTAGAGAAGCATCCTTACAGAAAAATATGGAATTGTGTTTTGAAATTTGGCTGCTAAACTCGCCTGTCTGTGGTGGGGAATTTGGATTTCCATAGTCTTTGTTCTTCAGTATACACAGCTTACACTCTTTGGGGGGCTGCCTCT